GCGCTGGACGGCGCCGACGCCGACCCGAGCCACCTCGTCCGCGTATTCTTGGAGCTGTGGCTGGTCGATTTACATGAAATTAATTCCCTCAGTTCTGGTGGCAAATATAATACACATAATCCATATTGTTATGCACTAGCGTGTATGTGTGAAATAGATGGATTATGGTCCCGTATCCAATAAGATGGATATGTGTGTGTTAGAGAGAGAGAGAGGGGGGATAGAGAGTGAGGAAGAGGGAGGGAGAGTGTGTGTCTCTGTGTGTGAGGATTTGATGGTAAAAAAGGTCGCCAATGTCGTAATATTGAACTTTTAAAGTTAATGTGGCCCTGTTGCAACGCACGGACGTTCTTCTAGTAACTCCTAATGTCTGAGTTGGTAGTCTCACCTCACTCCGGTTAATCGTTTCCCACCGTTCTTTTTATTCCACCAACACATTTAAACCGCATTTTATGCATAATTTATTTAAACCGATTTTATCTGCTAATAAGATCAATTTTCAGTAGTATTTGGTAACTTTTATATGGAAAGGAATAAATCATGATCAATCTTTAACCAATTCATATGTCACTCAATCGAATTAATTAATCTTTCCATATGTAACAAAAACTACTTAAATAACCATACCATACGTCGTGCAATCGCTTCCACCAAAGCCCACCTATTTTTTTCATATATCTACCGCTAAGATGGCTATAATCTACCGTCTGCAAATATAACCAGGCGGAACGCCTCGTCCGTGGACGAAAAGTTCTGCACCCATCGCAATTGCAAAGCCGCCCATCTCGAACATACACATGCCCAGAGGTAACATCCCGTCGACGTCGTCGCTGACGCCTCCCAGCCCGAGCCAATCCGCTGCGAGCTACAAGGAGAGGAGCTTCCGCTCGAGCACCTGCATCCCCGAGCCGGAGGGCGCTAGAATCTCCTCGGCGCACCGCCGTCCGGCACGCTACCGGTGAGCTCGCAGGTGAGCACCATCGCCCTTCTGGACCGCCTCCTTCTACCTTCCTTTCCTCCTCTATCTCTTACCTTCCCTCTGATTTCATTGCCGCAACTGACGTTTCTACGATGAGCGCGTGCGTCTGCAGCAAACCCTGCTCGGGTCATCGCCAGCCTATGCATCTCCAGCATTTACCACAGGAGCTCAACCCGCCTCCGCCATGCACCTCTTTGCTTTTGGATCCACCGATCCCCGCCTTGCTGGGACCGTTCGCGCCGCCGGCGAGATCCCCATGATCTATCGTCTCCTCTTCCTGCTCCGCTTTGTTGATAATCAGCCGCCCGCCCATGGGCCACCTCCTTCCACCGGGCCAGTCCCGTAGGCCGCAGCCGAGCCTTCCCAAGCCGGCTCCAAGCACTACAAAAAAAGACACATCCGTGAAATTTTGGGCTGAATGAATTTTTTCTGTCATACTTATGGCACTTCTATGACGGTAATTGTGACAAAACCCGGTATTATCATAGATGTGGTAGGCTCCTACTTCTATGACAAAAAATCATGACAGAAAATGGGTTTTCTGTCCTGGGCGGGCCAGAGATGCAGCTGCATGAGATTCTTTGGGCCATGCATGACGAAAAAACCATGGTAGAAGCGAGGGCAAGGAAAGTATCGGGGAGTTTCTGGTTACGGTGGGTAGTCGGGGGCCGAGCGTGCGCGTTTCTCTCGTACACATACGCGCGTGGGTGCAAGGTGTTGGGCTCTAACTGAACCCGAACGAGGCGTTCGTCTATTGAACCCGAGCGATTGCACTGCAGGCTACACGTTACTAAACCTGATCGAGCGATTCCTTCGTTCGCTAATGCTGGTAACTGAAGCCAATCAAACCTGCTGCCTCCTTCCCTTGATGAAAAGTGAGGGTTGTTGGGGGTTGGATGAACAGTTCCCGGTGTGGGGTTGGATGAACAAGACCCCGTGGTGTTGCCGCTGGATGAACAGGACCCAGATCGATCGAGCTGGTTGGGCGTGGATGAACAGGACCCCGTGGAGGGCTGGATGAACATGGCGACCCCGTGGAGGGCTGGTTGAACAGTAGCCGTTGGAGGGCTGGATGAACAGTAGCCCGTGGAGGGGTGGTTGAACAGGACCCGATGGAGAGGGCTGGTTGAACAGTAGCCTGTGGAGGGCTGGTTGAACAGTATCGGTGGAGGAGCGTGCGGTGTGGAGGCTGGATGAACAGGAGCCCGTGGATGAACAGTCGCATGTGGAGGCTGGAGGAAGTCGACGGTGGATGAACAGTAGCCCATGGAGGCTAGAGGAGGCCGATGGTGGAGATGAACAGTATCTCGTGGAGTCTTGTTTTGTGGTACGCCACACCCCTCCCGATGAACAGGACCACCGTTTCGACCGTAGCGCTCCAACACAAGTCCGTTTCCTCCGTTTTGCGGTACGACACAGCCCTCCCGATCAACAGGACCCCGTTTCGACCGTAGAAGGTCCAACAGAAGTTCGTTTCCTCCGTTTTGCCGTACGCTAGACCCCTCCCGATGAACATGATCTTGTTTCGACCGTGGCCGGTCGAACACAAGGCCGTTTCTTTCATTCTGTGGTACGCCAGGCCTCATTTCCATCCGCTGTTCCATCCAAGTCCTCCCGATGAACATGATGCATTCCGTTCCGACCCAGCCGGTTGGCTCCCCATGAACACGACAACGACACAGTTTCTCCGTTTCGACCCAGCCATGTACACGAGCCCTAGCCATACGTATGCGCGAGTAGGCGTTCGAGACCCCACCCGTATGTACGTACGTGGCCGTATTTAGTTTCTTGCACTCTGGCCGCTGTATGTACGTGTACATGCTACGTGCGCGCCTCTACTATGACACGTGCGCGTCTCTACATCGACCAGTATGTACGTACACGTTCGCGGCCAGAATGACAACGCTACGTACGCTTCGACCAGATGGGTCCCGACTGTCATGCACTTCCTTGCGTGCGAAGATGTAGCTGGTGGGTCCCAGCAGTTAGGGGGGTGAATCATGTTTTTTTGCCTGTAATACGGGCGGACTTCCTTGCGTGCAATGATGTAGCTAGTGGGTCCCAACAGTTAGGGGGAAACATTTTTTTCATGAAATACGGTAGCCCGTCCAGTGGGTCCCTGCTGTCAGAGGGAGGAATAATTAGTTTGCGCGTAATAAGGAGACACTTCCTTGCGGCTGTCGTGGACCTAGCTGTCAGCCTCTCCATGTATTGTACTCTTCCGATGAAAGTCGTTCCTTGACCATGTTTACCACGCCGCGCCGAGAGCACCAGGACGATGGACGATGGCGAGGCCTAGGAAGGGGACGATGCGGAGCTGGGGAAGATGCGACAGTGGAAGCCCGCGTGAAGAGGAGTATGAGGGTTCACTGGTTCGCCTACGGTGTGAAGCTGCCGTCGCCGCAGAATAACAGAGGGTGTGGGTGAGTAGAGGAATGGCCTGGCCAGCGATGGGAGTAGTAGGGGGCGGTGAGGCCTCCGCGGCATCACAGCCAACCACGGGAGGCAGGAGCACGCGGCACGACCGGCGCTGCTTTGGGCGGCTGGAGCAACAAGACCAGAGGTTGAAGAAGCACTACGGCTGTTGGATGAACATCGTACGATCACTGTAGCTACAATCGTTTATATTGACTAAGCTGACAAAGCCCTTGGTACGCGTCAACTTAGTAGGCCCATAGGTCAGCCTCCGAAACGGTGCGCCCTAGATGTCAGGGGGAGGAATCATTTTTTGGGCGGCTGAAGCAAGAATATCCGAGATTGAAGAAGAAGCACGACATCCATTGGATGGACATCCAACGGCCACTGTTCCTAGAACCGTGTGTTGACTATAAGTTGACAAAGCCTTGCATACACGTCAACTTAGTTTTTTTAGGGACGCGTCAACTTAGAAGGCCCACAAGTGTGTCGCAGAGAACATATAGCCCATTTGCGATTTGTAAGAATGTACAACACATTTTTGAATTCTAATGGAATTTATTACAACCCATTTACAGTTTGTTAAAAGTACATCCCATTTTCTAGTATTTATAGTAGAACCATGTTCGTGCGTTGCAACGGGATATGAATATTCTAGTATGTTAGCTCCTGAATTAGCTATCCATATTAATACGGTTGTGCAAATAAATGTTTACCAAATTCTGTCCGTGATTTACTTTATAATTTGATGAGAAGTTTGGTAAGTAAATTAAGGTGGAATTGGTTTAGAGAGCAAGTAATTAATATGATTAAGTAGCGCATCAGAAAGGTGCGGTGATTTACCTTATATTTTGATGAGAAATTTGCTAAGTATATTCAGGTGAAATTGGTTCAGAAGGTAAGTAATCAACATGATTGAGGGACGCACGGGGAAGGTGAGATCAAATATGATGTGGTGGAAAAATAAATAGTCTAGATGAATAAATCTATGGGGAATTGCGATGAGAGGAGACCCACTGACAAAGAGTTTTGCCTCACAGGAAAAGAACATTACTTATTTTTTAAGTAAAAGTAGTAAAAAGTAGTAGAGAAGTAGAGATAGAAAAAAGCGAGACGAAAGCCTATTTTGTGACGGTAACGAAGTAGACCAATGACCAATGTATGACATCAAACATCACAATCAATAAGCAATTCACATGTTTATCTCCGTCATATGGCTAAACGCCTTCGCATTTTCAGCAGTCATCCAAGAGGATGTCAAGCACCAAATCATATGCAATTGGCATGCACCAATGATCAAATCAACGATGTATCGGGATCACACGTGGCCAGCCTGAACCAAGAAGTTCTTAGTGTACTGAATTTATACATAAAACCGTTGCGCATGTTGCCCGAATTTTCTGAACACTTTGTTTGAGTAGCCACACATGAAGGGGCTGATCTGGTGTACATGGACACTTCCATTACAAATCTACAATCAGCTCTTTTTTCCTTTGAGAAAAAGAACAACAAAAAAGGAGAATGGTAGGAAAGATAAAACCTGAAATTTTATCTTTCTCGCCACTCTGTTTGACGACTATTTACAACACGACCTTCTAAGTGCGACTTACCCTTTCTTCCCATGTGCATGGCTTCTAGGTGAAATCACGTCATGGTCGCCGGAGCTACTACTTTTCTTGCCATGTGATCTTCTGGGCGAAATCACCTCATGGTCGCCGGAGCTGCTCTTCTTGCCATGTGATCCTCTAGGCGAAATCACCTCATGGTCGCCGGAGCTGCCCTTCTTGCCATGTGAAGGAGGCAATGACGCCCAAGTAATCTTCTCGCCGATCTTCTTGTCGCTCGCCTTCTTGCCGAGATGCCTGCCGGTCTTGCCCATGGATCTGGGTCCTCCATCCTCGCCGTTCAAGATGGGCACGAGGTACCACCAGATGGAGGTGCAGCAGATGGCGAACATCCTCCCGAACACGACCAGGCTCAGCAAGAGCAGCACCGCCACGAACGGCCAGTACTGGCTCGGCCTAATCGCCTTGTCCGCCCACGACCACCTCCCGGCGGCCGAAGCCTTCTTCTTCGTCGGCGCCGCAGCGACAGCCGGCGCCGTCACAGCCGCGGCGTGCTTGACGGCGTCGTCTCCTCCTCTCGGGCTGGTGGACTCCGTCCGCGGCGACGGCGGCTGCGTGGGCGGAGGCGTGGACGACACGGCCAGCTTGGACTTGCACTTCTTCTTGGGCTCGGCCTTGGCGGCGGGCTCTTCCGTCGGCAGCTTGACGACGATGGGCACCCAGCCCTTGGTCTCGGACTGCACGAACCGGACCATGACGTGGTCGCCGCCGTCGACGCGGCGCAGGACCTTCTCCCGCCGGGACTCGAGCTCCGCGAGCACCATGGAGAACTTGTCCAGCCCGCGCGACGCGTACGGGTTCTCCTTCTTCCCGGTGACCGGCTTCTTCTTCTCCTTCCTCTGCGCCTGCTTGCCTCCGCCGCTCATCGGCTCGCCCTTGTCAACGTCCTTGAAGCTGGCTGTGCCGCAGAACACCATTTCTTCCGGCATAATACCGTTTACCACTCCCTGTCAAGAACTGCTTATAAAGGGGATAACTTCCAAGCTGGTTGTAACTTGCTCCGGTGTCGCTCATAATTTGTTTAGCTGTTCCTCTGTGGGGCTGGGTGACTGGAAGTCGGGGGCGACTCGATCATTTGAAGGCCGCGGGGCGGTGTCCTGGCGCGAGCTGGGTCAAGCGTGGAGGTGTCAGATAGTACTATTCAATTTTCATCCCTTGCTTCCCACGATTGACCCGGTGTAGAGATGGGAAATACTACTCCAGTACTGTGTCCGCGTTAAGCCGTTAACAACAAGAAAGAAAACGGTGAGAATCTTCACACAGAGAGCAAAGCGACACGTCCCATAATTTATACAGAGCGTACGTCTGCTTCTGAATTGTATGCATGGGAAATTGTTATATGCTCGACGTTCCACGGTTTTACAATAAAAAAAAGGCGCAACCGGATAATCACGATTTGTAGAGAGACTGAATCAGTGGTGACGTATAACTCGATCAACCGACGGACCGATAGCAATTTCTAAGCATAACAGCAAACCCATAGTTTTATACGAATCGGCACCAAGTAATCCACGAGGTGCATGCGTACGTAACTGCGTATCCAGACACCCTTGCCGTCGATCCAGTTGGTTGCGCGTCGAGCTCGCACATAGTCATAAATACTACTCGTACAGTTGGTTTATCAGCCTGTGCAGATAAATTGACTCCAAGTCTCCAGCTATTTCCGCCCGAAAAATAAAGAGTCTCCAACTACTAGCTCGATCATGACCTGACGAGCAGCGTACGGGTTGCCCGCATAACCGCATTTATTGCACCAGCGGCGCGAGGTCGCGACGTCTCCCTCGTGATTTCGCTGCCGGTTGCCCAATTTTCTCTGCTCATGATTTTCTTTTTCTTTTTTTTGAACTTTCTCTGCTCATGATTTAGTAGTAGAATGTCAAGTAGTACTACGTACACAGTGATTCGCGAGCGCTAGCTGAGTTTCCGCTGACCCGCCGGCCGGCCGCGGTAATGTTTGAGGTTTGATTGCTGTGCAAGCCGTGGACCGATCTCCGCTGCTTCTCTGAAGCTTATCGTGCCGATTAAACTAACACGGGTCGTCTTGAACGAGTCAACGGTTCCTGTGGTTCGTGCTACGTAGCGATGATTTACCAGTTTAGTTTTATTTGTTTGGCCTATGTAGGTCAAAGGAGGAGACAAAATCTCGGCAGCACGATCGCTCTGCTCTGACCATCATTTCTCTTGGATTGTTAGAGCAACTCTAACGCAGTGATCCAAACGGATATGGATTTTGTTCGTATTTTGTCCGTTTGGTCGCTCGCCTGCCTAGCGGACATGAGACGGACAGGGGATGAACCCAACGCAAGACCAAAAAGTGGACACGCCCGCGTGGAGACGCCGCTTTCCTCCCGTGCCGCCGCGGCAGCGCCCCGTGCCGCAGCTCGTCGTCCCCCGCTCGCCGCGCCCGCCCATAGCCTTATCGCCGCCGCCGCCTGGCCGCGCCCGCCTCCGTCGTCTGCAGCTCGCCCGACGCCGCGCCCATCGCCCCTGGTCGCGCCCGCGCCGTGCCCGCCCCTCGACCGCGCCTTGCTGGCCGCGCGCTGCTCGTGTGCCCGCACGCGCCCAGCCCGGTTTGCCCGCTCGCTGCTGCCCTCGTTGCAGCACTGCTGTTGTTGCTTCCGCGCCGCTGCTCTTGCTGCTCACCGCCGCTATATGCTGCTATCCGCATACGGCCGCGGCGGCGCCCTGGCTGTGTGCCTCGCCTGCTCCCACCTCGGCTAGCCGGCGCACCACCCTCACCCTGCGCCTCCTTTGGCCGCGCGGTTGAGCCGGGCCACCTCCTGCCGGCGCCAGGCCTCCTCCTCGCGCCGTCGTGCCCCCCTCAGATCCCCATCGCGGCGAGCACGGCCGGGTGGCACCGCAGTTCCTCGGTGAGCGCCAGGAGGAGTAGCAGGAAGTGGAGGTGGGAGGCAAGCGCGGCGGCAGCCTGCGCATGCGGCCTCGCTCCTCCTCGCGGTGGTTGTGGAGGCTGGCGCCAGCTCGTGCGCGCTCACTGCTAGGTGGGACCAGGGGCGGACACGAGTGGACGACAGCGGTCGAGCAGAGCGTCTGCTTCGTACCCATTTGTTTCCAGATTTGGACCAAGTTTGAGTCGGAGACGGACAGCAGGCGGACACCCGCGTCTGTTTGGGTCGCCCCGTTGGGTCAAGTTTTGTGTCCGGATGATCCAAACGGACAAAATGGGTCTTTGCATTGGACTTGCTCTTATCTGCTTCCGTTATGACAACCCCATCTTGACTGTTTTAGTGGGATCATTCTAGAAGTTGTACTTTTGTATATTTTTTTAATGAAAATAGCTAGAACAATTGTTCTATGGTCTCGGTTCAAAAGAAAAAAAAATCATTCTAGAAGTTCCGTGCGGCTAATCACAGTACTACTAGTACGTAGCTTATTGATTGCAAATGAAGTACTAGCACGAAGCTGCGTACCTGTGTCTGAAGAGTGAAGAATGCCTGGGGACCTCGCACTGAAGTGCTCGGAAGAAATGGAGGGGATGACGGCTGAGAACAAGCTGGGAAAGAAAATACTGTATTAAGCTACTCCTCTGGAAGGGATAGCTGACACCTAAAGACACATGGGTGACATCAGGGCTCGTTTTAAATTTTCTTTTTGCAAGCATTTTTAAGCTTCTGGATGGACCTGTGCGTGCAAGTGCAAGTATGCAACGACGTCTGCAAAGAAGTTGTTGTTAGCAGCCTGCCCTGCCGACCTGTGCATCGGTGCACGCCCAAAATTCTTTCATTTTCTTCATCCTTAGAGCATCTCCAGCGGGAAAAAATACGTCTTTTGCACGCGCGAGCCGGGTTGGCGCAGGAAAAAAAAACTACGCGCGCGAAAAAGCGGCAATGCGCCCGACAGTTTTGGCGCGCGGACGTCCAACGCGCTCTATAAAACCCGCGGCGGGCGCCCGCTAACCGCCGTCTGCGTCGCCTCTCTCCCTTCTTCCTCGCTTCTGCCGGTGCCCCCCGCCGCCGCGCCCTTCTTCCTCGTCTCCAGCGTCCCCCCGCCGCCTCCAGCACCTTCTTCTCGCCGCCGACATGCCGCCGAGCGCCCGAAGCAGCTTCGGCTACCGCGGCGTCCGCGCCCACCCTCCGGCGTGTATTACGCGGAGATCCGCTCCGGTAATACACGCCTCGGTCTCGAGACGTTCGAGACCGCCCACGAGGCCGTCCGCGCATACGACGCGGCGGCATGGCGCCTCGCGAGGCCACGTCCGCAGATGAATTTCTCGGACGTGTGGACGCGCCAGCAGGCACAGGACCTCACGGCTCCGCCGTGGCTAATGACCGAGGAGGACTGCCGCATCCAGCGGAGGCGGGAGGGGCGCCTCCTCATCGCCGAGGCGGATGAGCACACCATGGCGGCGTGGCGCGAGCGCTTCCCGAAGGACGTCGCTGTCGAGAACGAGTTCTGAGCGCAGCGAGCCATGGATCGAGCGGACAGGCGAGAGCAGAAGGCACTGGCGGAAGCCCAGTGCGAACTGGCATCTGCGACCTGGGACGACAATGATCCTCGATGGGAAGACGTGCTTCTGTCGTTGGACTACACCACCGAGGAGGACGACAACTACGAGTAGTCTATCTAGTTTATCGTCGACGTAATCTACTATATTTGCATCGTAGTATCATTTTTATCTATTTTTATTTGTATCGTATGGACTAGCTTGTGGTGTTGGGCTTGAACTATGCATTGTAGTATCATTTTCATACGTATTTGTATTTTATCTATATGTTGTTTCATATTGTTTGTATGTGTTGCATCGTAGTACCGGTTGCTCGTGCGCGGATTTTGCAATGCTTGCTAGAGCTATAGCGCCGCGCCTTATTTTGCAGCCCCTGCTGGAGCAAGCGCCCTCCTGTGCGCTAAAAAAAAGCTATTTTAACGCTGTGAAAATAATTTAGCACGCCGCGCGTTGCGCTTCTGTTGAAGATACTTTTAAAGTTCGTCTTCTTTTTCACGGTCTTAAGCACGAGCAGAAGTCCATTCATTGGCGGAATGCGCTGGGACGACTTTGGAGATGGTTATTCCCCTTCTTAGCAGTACAGGCACAGTAACTGAACCAACTACATCTCACGTACAGATCAAAACAAGAAAAAGGAAACTTTCTTGCTAAATCTCAGTTGACTCAGACTTTGTTATGTATCAATTGTTGTTATATTCGTAAAAATATACATTGAGAATCATGCAATAAAAAACAGATTTCCCCCCTTACATGTTATGCCACCTGACTAAGATTTAGTTAATTCTCAGTCGACTCGACTGAGATCTAGCCACACCCAAAAGAGAAGCATAGAGCTTACATGCAACGACGTACTCAACATATCCAATGAGTGTGCTAGCGGGCTCTCACAGGCCGGTACTACAAAAGCAAGACAAACGGATTGGCATGAAGATATTGGGAAACCTCTTTCCTTTTATTAGTATTCTCTTTGTCTTCCATTTGTTTTCTTATCTTTAAATAATTAATTGACAATATAAGGATTCTCAATGCAATTTACCGCATAATACATATAAATTTCCTCTAAATCAAAAGCAAGAAATTCTTAAGGTTATATTCTGGAATACCCTTAGTTATTCGTTCCATTTCGGCATATTACAGAAGCAAACTAAGTTCGTTATGATGCGCAAGGGAAATCAAGTCATCACAATTTATGGACACGATTCGATCATGAAATAATTAAATGATCATGTTCATTGCAAAGTTCATAAGGACGGCGAGAAAAATTAAATCTTTTAGCACAAACATCTAGCCTCTATTGCAACCATTTAGTTTCTAAATACATATGCCTCTTGCAAAATCTATCTTCCCTTTTTGGTATGTAATTGCAAACTCTATGCACTCCACAAAAATTGGCATGCTTATAAGAAAGATTTTTATCATGACTAGTGCAATCATCATTAGTACTATGGATATTCAAAGAATTCATAC